CGTTATAACTGTGAGCATCAAAAAATCATAATTTAGGTTCGTTAGTTATCGAAATCTTAGCTTTGGATTTAGTAAAAATAGGAGCATTCTTTCTAGTGAAAGGCAAGTTATGACCTGAGCTTCCTTTGAAGATTTCCATCTAAGAAATCTTTTTACGAGGACCTACATTGAATGCTGTAAAAATGAGCATTTAATTATAATGGAATTTATTACTGGAAAGGAATTATCGTAGTCAATAAAATGTATACTTATTATACTTTAATAGCCTGATAGATTATCTTTGCCTAGTTCTTGCCGTGGCAACTTTTCTTATTAAGACCACCTATGATATGCAAATTTGATAACCACGTGCAGATCTTCTGTGGCCCTGTCTCATGCAACTTAGTTTGAAATGTCTGTAGTAAATCAAAGTACGAAAACAAAGAAAGTTAGAAACCTGGTGTAGCCCTTTAACGCCTACACCGATACTAAACAAGCGGTTTTACTGCAAAAGCTCACTTTTAGCCTGGAAAATATTAAATGAAATGTTCACATTAACATATGTATATGTAGTGGTGAAAAATGCTTATTATAAACGTTGTAGCTCGAGCACAGAACGTGTAATTGTTTATTTTCGTTCCCACGAATTGAAATAGCTAGTTCTCATCGTAAAGAAACTAGTAAACCAAGCCAACTCCCAAATACCCTATATATTGCATCCATTTAAGTTTTGTACTTTATGAATTAATTATTCCGCGCCTTTGCATACCCGAAAGCAATTAAAAAGCATAATTCTTGATATCAAAGAAAATCATTTATTATACCGAGACTGCTCGAAACGGTTTTCAGGGGTTGGTTTATATCAATACTGAAATGTGGTGAGTCATTCTTTTTCCCCCGTTTCAAAATCACGCGATGTAATCCTCAGGCATTGGGGTGTTTTAATAATATATTCCTCCAACTCAGATGTTAAGTTATTAGTGTCTGAGTGGATCGTTAATTTTCAACGCAAGAACGCTAACAACAACCATTAAGGCCAACTCTGTTTTTGCAAAAATTTCATAAAATGGATCCAATCAATCACCAGAAGCATAAATTAAAAATCTACCTATTTCATTACGATATTTCAAATAAACCAGACGATATGATAATTATTTATTGTTGACGTCACTTCGGAACTAAATTTGGATCTTCAATAAAATTCGCGAAAACTTAATAAGCAGATAACTTTCCGAAACTTAGGGAATATTATAAATGTAGTAAATTTAAGATAAGATTGTCGTTATTGGCTTATTTATGGGGCTATTTTTAATCAACCTACATTTTGACGTAGAAGCTTTAAAATATTCTAAACAGAACGCTTAATAATAGCTCATCCTCAAAAATCTTACTAAAAAATATAGACGTTAATATGCAATGATATATCTAATTAAACGTTGAATTGTTAAAAGCCATTAGTATAATGGAATTGAAGCTATTAGATTATAATAGGAAAAAGGGCATTGAAATAAAATAACGATGTATTTATTTCAACACACGCAGAACGTATTTTATTATGTTGTTGATACCACGAGTTCTTTAAGGCTCCTTTATAAGACTGAAATTCATCGGATCATCGGTATAATTTGATTGAGCTTAACCATTTACGCTTAGATCAGCAGCTCAAAATTACGAGTCAAATTCTATGAATTTAAACATAGATTCTGGCTTTTCTCCTTTTTGCTAACAAAGAGGAATGATAACATTTATGTGGAATTTCCAATAGAAGCCGATAGTTTCACTTTAATAGAAGAGCGTGGCTTGAGGAATAAAAAAACAGTCGATGGATCATAAATATCAAGTTTCCACAAAGACCATCCGGTGTGTACAGAGTACACAATTTCGGTTTAATTCCCCTTTGGAAATTGTTAATACCACACTTTCATTGGCTGAGGACACACCTGGAACAAGTTATTATTTTTCTACTTTTAGAAGGGGAATTTTGTCCTTTCACCGTTTAATTGAAAACCACACGGAACTAGCCTAGAAGCTAAAATAGGCGGACATCTGGCAGTCCTAAACTAATTTTTCTTTCATTAAATTTCTAGCTAATTATTTTTTATTTTCAGTCTGCCTGTTTGTAAACGACTTTTCTAATCAACATTATGGAAACGAAGATAAACCACTTTGATTAAAAATTAAACAAGGCACTAAACGCGGCTTATAAGAATGGGAAAGATCGAATTAAAAGATAACAGGGAGGTTTACTTTGATAAACCATCTTTCGTTCTGCATGAACGCGATTATGTGCAAAATTTGTTTATACGGCGAGTGTTTGCTTAAATTACACAAACCTAGTCAGAATTATTGTTTCAACGTATAAAATGGAGGCAAAAAACATTAAATGAATGTCGGTACAGTAAAAATTGCACAAATCTCCTGTCATGGATGACCAGAATTTACCCTCGCAGATAACGTTTTTTGGTCAAGGTTTAGTTGAACCGAAAAAGCCACAAATTTCCAAACCGTTTAAAAAAAGCACTGTTTATTTCAGTTTACGCACGCTGTTGTTTTTAAATATTTTCCTTAACTCCATCATTTGAGTCGTATCAAATGTGGCAATTTTTTCTTAAGTGTAATGACTGTTCCTTAAACGATTAATTACACAGTTTAAATAGAAACATTTGTGAATGTGTATTTAGGACAGCTACGCTGTTTTCAAGCGGGAATGATCAATATTATTCCCTCATTGTCTAACGTTTTAAAATAAACATAAATCATCTCCAGTAAAAGCAATCTCACAAATTGAAATATAGCTTTTATTAACCATATTAGTAATAATTATTTTCAAGGCTAAATGCCAGTCGTTCTTAGAAGGTTGGATTCAGTTAAACAAATTAACAACAATGGAAGTGAAATTTCGAATTACCGCAATTTCCCATTGTTCTAAGCAACGTTTAGGTATCTATCTACAGAATGTTTGGCTATTTAAGACCAATATATTAGTATGTTTATAGAAAATTAATTGTTAGAAACCTGAAAGCTTAAGTATTGACTGATTGAGAGGAGCGGAACTTCGCGATTGAATGTATTAGAATTTATATCAATTTTATATTTCTTGATTATTTTACTTTACAGTTTTTCTTCGAACCGATATAGAAAATAAAGGGGGAGTGAAAATAAGATGGAGCATCCGCCGCTCAACGGTGGCGGTATCTTATTTACACCACGCGTTTATTTTATTATCTATCTTCCATTTCTAATAAAATGAATCGCTAAATTTAACTCTTGAGACACAGTTTTTCAACAAATTTCACTCGGGAGATAAATTGTTTCTATTTTCAATTTCAAATGGTAATATTTTAAAAGTTGTAGTGAGTATCCGGAAAGTGCGTAATGCGCCAAAGTTTTGAAGAGTATTGTTTGCGTGCCTTTTTATGGCAAAACTAGATTGCAGAAACAGTGGATAAAATATCAAAGTTGACTATGTAGGTACATAATGCTTCTCAACCTTTACTGCTCATGCATATAAGTATAAATCCTTACTTGAAAAGAACCTTTTAAATCTGGTTTCTGTACCGGCTATTGAACAAAGAAATGGTACACCCTACACCTGTCTCAGATTCAGTAACTATTCATTGGCGCAACAAAGATTTAGTGGACATAATTGTCCTGTCGAGGACATGTATTGACTTAAGCAAAATATTTTTTCGATAATTTTTCTTAAATTAAAAATAGGTAGTTAAGGAAATATAGTGTAGCTAATTAGGAAATTGCACTAAAATGAAATTTGGAAGAAAACGTACGCCACTGTAGAGAATGCGGGGCATTAGGTGCGCCTATGACTACATGCAAGAAAATTAACTATACCAGAGTGACAATGATTTTATGCCGTCATTGTTGTAGTAGTTTGGTATTCCGAAGATACCTACATAAATGATTTCAGGCATTATCGACTGTCTGGATGTCTAAGGTTTTTTACAATTTAAAAGATTATCAGCCTGTCTGGTGCCCGAGATTTAAAATTCAAATTTTAAATAGCAGGGAACAAAAGAATATACATTCAAGTTATTACAATGTAAAATTAGGGAAATGGAAATCTACGTTCGCGGCTACTTGATAGTTTACTTAAAAATAAAACTTATGGGCGTGTTGTTCCTAATTTTACAGTCCAAATATTTTCAATGCACTAGTGATTTACTTAAAATTAAAATTTGACTCGTGCTGAACGTATTTACAAGAGAATTAATTTAAAAATAAAATTGCTTACCGTGATGTTACATAATTTTATCGCAGTGTTAATTTTATGTTTTGTACTTAATAGTAATGACTGGAAATATTTACGTCTAACTAAGTTTAGGAATAGATAAATGTTATATTCAAGGCCTCAATTACGTTATAATTGAAGCGTGTAGTAGGTATTCTAAGGAATATTGAGTAATTGATCTAATACAGTGCTAATACACCCCATTTTATGCTCCAACTAAAAATTAACCCCTTTTAAGTTAATTTTATCGATTTAATATGCAAAGTTTTAGGATTTTTCATTTGGAATCACTCTGTGTAATAACTGAAAATTTAATTTGAATTGGGTCTGTTTGGTAAATATCAGAATTTCGTTAAAACCGTGTTTAATTAAATTAGGGAAAATTGCGTTTGGAATAATCTGCAGGACATATTTGCTAATGATCTGATTAAATTTACCATGCAATACCTACCACAGTTTTGCACAAGTGAAACTTATTGAATCCCGACTTACCTAATGAAATATTTCTATGAGGTAAGTATAAAAGCAACTGCTAGATAAAATCAAAACCCTTGTATATATACAACCGGTAGAGCAAAAAAGAATAGCTATAATTTTGCGGGAATAATAGTGCTCGTCATCAAACGGATATACCTAGAGAGAATGTGTTTTGATAAGTGATAAAATACATTTTAGACGAAATTGCTTATTATCTCCGTATATTTAATTTGCGATTACGTGCGAGCAACCAAGGAATATTTAATGCAAGGGAAATATTTAAAAAATATTTACTCACTGTTGAAAACCAATAGTTTTCTGGTAGATCCTAGTCTGCGGATGGGTGACTTGGCTTCTTCGTTTTCGTCCATGCTCATGTTGAGAGATATTGTTTATTTATGCTTTATAAAATAAATAAGGCTCTTTAAAATCGCAGGCACTTTCCCTTCACATTCAAAGGCACGAAATAATTGAGTTCAGTTCAAAAGTGGTCAAAAAGATAACCGTTCTAGTCCTCGTGTTAGAACTTTTGCAAAATTGAAAGAATTCACACAAACATCACACAACTGTCTTGAAAAATTGAATCGGCCGCATCTCAAAATAGAACTGAACATGGCTTGCTTATTTCGTTTTTTTATATTCGCTGATGTGATTCGCTGTACATCTAGTTATAAACAACTGCACGTTATTAAAATAATCAAGTTAGCTAGCACCGATCGAACGTCGAACACATTCACTTCTCCGTTATTGCTAGTGGGAAGTTTTCTATACTCCTTAGCACGAACACTGACCTCTCGGCTACATTGATTCTATTCTATACTATCCGTTGCTAGAAACCTCCAATAGAGGTACCGATATCAAGCAGCGTAAATGCCGAATGCGCAACGGTGTGCACAGTATATTCCGCCCGCACATCTCCAAAACCCACTTAAGAGCTACTTAAGCACTTTAAAACCTCGGACTTTTTGTCTTCGTTAGATACTGGTTAATATAATGGGTTCGGCCACTTGTGCTTAGGGAGCATGCAAATTTACTCCCGGCATCGAAAGTTAAAAAATCAAAAAGTATGACAATATTTCGTCCTGCACCGAAAGCTGAAAAATCAAAAGAATATGCTTTCAAAGTCCAGTTACCACACCCTGTACGATCTACTTGAGTGCTACTAATGCCCATTAATATCATAATGCCACTACAGTGATTAATAGCCCTCAATGAATTACATGAAGATAACCCTTGCTCTGTACCACTTTAAAGCGCTGTAGAATACTCTTGATTGTTCGAGGCGAGTCAGTTGCACAAAAAGGCGCTATTGACTATCGAAACCAGCTCTCAAAATGGGTAACTTATTAAAAGTGCTCTCAGTTTTTCTTTTGCTTGGCTACTCATTTGCGCAGATTGTTGAAGATATTTACGATAAAAATTCCACAGTGATAACCACACGGAATGTGACAGCATTCACCGGAAAAAGTAATATGCATTAAATCCACCTAAAACGGAAAATTAGTTTCATCTGATTTCAGTTATTGTGAAGGAAGTTAGTAAACCTCATAATTTATTTATTGGCAGATGCACAAAAAAGTATCCGATACTTCACCAGGAAAATATAGTAGTAAATAACGATGGTCAAAGTATACTATCATCAAATATAGTAGTATGTATAAATTATCTTTATTACATAAAAAAACGACACACTTTTCTAGATAAATGTAGATGGTCCCGTTTCTATAGCTTGTGTTAATATATCCGATGAGGATCCAGAAGTGTCTGCGTATCCCAGCTATGTATCTGGAGGAATAGGCCACAATTACGTGGAATTCAATGTGCAAACCACATATGGCAAAGGGTTCAAATTTTACGTTCAGATTTTTGGTAATTTAACTGCTAAGCCTTACTCGTGACCCTACTTACTTGAAGTAGTGTTGCGATGCTTCTTAATCAAATATATTACTAGTACAAAAAAAACATAGGAAAATAAAGCGTTAAAAATCTAGAAGAAACATACATTTTTATTATAGACACAGTGAATCTACAATATGTGGTTAATTTTAAAATACTCCTAGACGGTATCATACAGTATCACATCCATTTTATCACATACACAAGAATATAAATAATAAAAAAACTAAGTAACAAAATTAGCGAAACGGGTGCATGCGAGAAAACTGAAAGAAATATTTTGGTTAGGTAGGAAAAAATACAATTAGCTTTGTACCAAAAAATTCTATTGTTATCTATTCTAATCTTAACCCCAAATATTAATCATTAATATATAAAAATAGATTTAATATAATCACTATTTCGCATATATCAATTTTCAGATATACAATGTACAGATTAATTCACTGTCTGCTGGCTCGACGTTTGCAATCAAGTAATTGAATTCTCAATTTTTTATTCGTTTTTAGTAATAACATATATAACATATATAATTTGTAGAAAAAACTTTATGTACAGGCCTACACTCTAGCTAATTTTATTTAAACACCACAAAATATCACTACAAATTAAGTTTTTGGACTTTATACTATCACCTAACACAAGATATATTTTATCTTTCCAATACCGCAGATTAGAACTCGTTTCCGCTAAGTTAAAAAGAAAAGTTTGTTAATAAATTGTAACTAATTTAAGTACCTGTATAATCCAGCATACACTTTCCTGTGTACCAATTCCACACTTATTTTAAAATAATTATTTCACTTGATGGTGAAACACTTATAAAAAAATGTGACGAGTGATATTCGGCTTATTTCAAATTCAAAATAAAAACACCCACTTACATTGAGGTTTGTTGGTAATTCACCCTTATGTTTGACAGGATTCTAAATTTTAATATATAAAAATATTTTCCTTACGCATGTAGTCAAAATAGTAAGTAATAATAATAAAACTGGACATAAGCTTATTGTCTAGTTACTTTTTTGCTGCAATGAAATAATATAAACAGTTTAATATAATAAGACCGATAAGAATGAATTGCTTAAAAGTAATATACAGAAGTTATTATAAATAAGGGCGCTTTTGCAACATGTCAACCTAACAGTTGTCTGTAACATCACAAAATTATTGTACTTGGAAACAAATAAATTCTAAGGAAAAATCATCAATAAGATGTATCACAGAATCAAAAAATACGAAATTTAAAGACTGAGACTGGTAAGGGTTTTTATGAACTACTTTTTAGAATGGGTTAATATGGCAAACGATTCTTTGCAGTTGTTGATTAGTTATCGGAGTGGATCATTTAACTAAAGACAAAGCCATACGAGATAATTTTGAAAACACAGTACGTGTTGGCAAGCGATAGCTGAATAAGATAAAATAGAGAATTCTTTGCATGTAGACTGACATAATTGACTTTTTTCTTATGATTTTGCCTTCAGTCAATTGGTCCATACCATTAAATTCACTTTTTGCAAGTATACATGTGTTACAGAAAGAACTTGATCGGCGGCTTTTCAATAACTGAAGGTGCTTTATATATGTATATCCACAAAAAGATAAATTGTATGTACGCTTAACAATACGGTTCATTAATTGATTCACTATACTTCTTGCATTAATAAACAGATTTTGTTTAGCACTATGGGTACCCTGTTACGGGTACAACATTACTACACTAAGACTGATTAAATGCATATAAACTGCTTATTGTTACATACAACTACCTTAGACAAAAATAACATTTAAGTTTATACTTAAACAGTAAGAATCTAGAGAAAGTTGCTCCTGCCTCCTAGGTACTATACGAATTAGGTACGAAGTATATTTGCTGTTTCCAAGCAATAATCACTAAATTTAACTGGGGTCGTTTAGGCAGTTCATAAAAATCCCTTGATGAATATTAACTGTCCGGTTTTGTTCGAAGCAGTCCCAGGCATAAACAATGCATTCGTTTAGAATAAGTAGCGACATTCAATTCGGAAAGTGTATAACACTTTATATATTCAAAAGTGATCGTTAAATGGAACTTCCCGACTTCTTCAGAGGTGACTGCTTGAAAGTTCACGCCCAGATGCCAATCGGCGCCATAATATAACTACATATATCAATAGGTAATAAGAAATAATGGCACTAGGAACAGACCTAAACAGCACAACAATAACAATGCAGGCCACATGATCCGATTTATAAATACGCCGCACCCCATATGTAAATAAGAGCTGTAGCAACAGAAAAGCATCGGATCAAGCAATCACTTCTAAAGCTACCGCTACACGTGTTAGGCAAACATCAAGAAGAAATCCGAACTAACCACGTCCTCAAAGCCTTAAATGTTCAAGCAATGACGTCAAAAAACTGATAAATTATTGCTCTTGTCCATCCTAGTACTGTTTAACTCTTCAAAAAAGAGTTTCAAATTTTGAAACATATATTTCATCAATACGAGAGTAAAAGCTAATCGCACTCACTATCGCTATCTAAATGAAGCGCTGCCAATGAATCCATACTATCATTAGATGAAACACTGCTTCTAATATTTGCGAACCGCCCTAAGTGCAAGTCTTCCTCAGGGCTTGGTGATACTTTTGTTACTTTGAATCTAGATTTAGTCAGATGAATGGGAGTAGGCGGTTCAGCTTTGCCATTTTCAGGAACTTTGACTATCTGAAAACGACTCCTTGGTGCCGGACTTGACGCAGGAGACGGCAAAGGTGAACCGATCTAACAGACAATAAGGAGATGGAAACTAGTTATGAAGTAATATGGGAAAATTACCTGAAATGTCCTTGTGACATCTGGTGGTCCGTATCTCGGTTCGCAGCTCAAAGACACCTTTCGTGATATCTTTTGAGAAATATTCAGCACCTCCTTTTCCTCATCATCACTGCTATCATCTACATAGTTTTTGTTAACGGTGCAAATTGCTTGTAGCTTTTTAACCAGCTGAGAATAAGCTTCAGGATCCTTAAAAGCCAAAATTGGTTTGAGAGATATCTAAATGAATTATAATCCGTACTTTGGAACACTTACATTGCAAGACCGATTGTTATCGTCAATTTCTATTTTGGTGATTTTCGAGTTTGTTAAAGCGGTGCACAATGTTTCTATGCCCAGGATTTGGATTGCCTTGTTGCCCTTTAAGTTGATTTTCTGCAGTTTAAAAAAAATATGTATTCAGATCTTATTTACGAGATTTTGTTCGCATACCTGAAGCGATGTATTATTTGGAATAGCTTTGGAAAGGGCTGAAATGCCTTTGCACGTTAGGAGGGTGCATTGAAGCCCAAGGCCTTCGAGACATTGAGTATATGGCAATCCGTCACTTATATGATATAAGACATCATCGGTTAAGTTATTAAAGCCTATATTTAAAGTGTGCAAATTTTTGCACTCGACCTAAAAGCCCAGAAAATGCACTTAGAAATATTGCCAGTAGAGTAAAACTTTAGGCGTTGACTTACAATAATATTTTTGATCACTACTCCACTTTTCTCGGTTATCTGATTGTTAAAAATAATCAGTACCGATAAACCGATGCCTTCGGTGTTCGGATTACATTCACTTGCTTGATTGCATAGCCCTTTGGCAAGAACTTCAAGCCCTCGATCGCCCAAATTATTATTACTAATATCTAATACTTTTAAATGTATATTATTTACAAGAAACCTTTGTAAGGTATCCGCTTCTTTAGTATATAGACCCGTAGATGGTAAGTACAGTTCTCTTATGGTATAACTTGTCATAAGAGCTTCCACTGAAATAGGACAATATTTATAATATATATCTATTATATATATACAATATATATAATAATTTCATATAAAAGCTTTCGGCATCAACAGAGTCGTCATGAGCTCGTGATTAAGCAAGTGCAGATTTCGAAATGGGCTAATCTGATGTTACGCCGATGTAAATATATTTAGTTTCGAGATCTAATAGTTAACAGGCTCGAAATAGGTCCTGAGGGTGCCTGAGATTAACACATCTCGAAATTTGTACTTACTAACACCGTGAAATACATAAGTTTGCTTACCTAAATAGAATGTTGGTAGTTTGACCAGCACGCAATTATCAAATTTCAGCGTAGAAATGTGTTCATTATTTCGAACAGCCGTTATTAATTGCCTCATGTAGGGTTCACTAATAATCATTCCTTTAAAAGACAAAGATTGAAGAACCATAATGTGACTACAGGCGCTGCAGAAAGACTTCCAAGTATCTTCGTCTTCAAAATTCATCGCAATTTCGAAATGACACACAGAGTTGTAATATTGCAAGCTGTTTAAAAACTCGGTCATGGTTTGGGATGTAAATTGGCATTCTTGAAGGATCAAAGTATGAAAGTTGGTCACTTTTAGTAGATCTTCAAAGGTCTCTGTTACTTCTCGAGTTATTTTTATAGATGACAATTTTAAAGTAGCTGAATGGTTCATGTTATTTTTAATCTCCTGCAGTTGAGATTTTATTGTGTCTAGTTCTATAGTTTTGTGTTTTTTACATGATTCTTGGTAAATTTGTAAAATTTGCTCGGCGGAAATGAACTCATCTAGAAATGACTACAATCAAACAGGGCTGCGTTCAATGTTACAGATTAGAGTTTACCAATAATCCACATATAATCTTCGGGTTCCTTGTAACTAAAGAGCTTACGCTCATCACTGGGAAAACATACATGTCGAGTTGCAGGGCAATTATCTCCTTCGGCTGATAGCTCAAAGCAAGAACGCTTTCTTAATATGGAATTTCGTGGAGTATTTGATAAGCTAATTGTTTCTCTTTCCGAACTGTCGTTTTCATCGTCGAGCTCACTAGTCTCTATGGAATTGATAATGAATTTTTTTTTATCTGTAGATTTATATTTTTGGCCAAACAATGGGTCTTATGAATAGAAATGGAGCATTTGCTCGACGCACAAAGTAAAACCAAAAGCAAATATTTGAAGCAAAAGGAAGTAGAATGAATAATGGTTTGCTTTTCCTTCGTAGTCAATGTTCCGTTATTGAGACCGCTTGCTACACTTTTTAAGAAGTATCGACCAGACTATTTTGATAAGATGTCTGGTTGATAATAAAATACATACATTGTAGTAATCATAATGTGAGTGCGGAAGAAGTAACGCGTTGAGGCCTCGAGAAAGAAAGCACGACGAGCGTAGAGAACGATCAGGTGACATGTTTATTTCCTCATTGGAATATGGAAATTTGATCCAGATATTTGCTGTTTTGGTAATCCGGATGAGCGATATGTAGCAAAAACACTTTTCTTCTCTGGATCGGTGATAATGCACCATCTCGTATCTAAATTTCCTCACCAAAGAAATGCTACACTTTTCACGCGCCTTTTGTAACCGTTTACAAAACAACTATTATCCCACGTATACATACTTCTAAGGTTTTGCTTTAATAATTTTAAGTAAAAGCATTTACCACGTTTTATTCATGAGACCCATTGTCTTTAAATCTATCCGTATATCAAGACACAACTAGCGCTAGAAATTATGTAAAGCAAAAGAGCACATTTAAAGAAGCAGTGGACCGATATCGTCTACGATAATTTCCTAATAAAATTTTTTTGCTCAACACTAGAACATGTTCGTCTGTTTTGACAGAAGAATGTGTCAATTTACCAGCTAAAATACATGGGCAATGCAGATTGATCGAAGTTAATCTCAGGCACCTCTCATCAGCTAGGTTTAACCTGAAGTTAACGCTCGCAAAACCTGCCCTTTTTTCGCCCATGTATTTTACACCATGTAAAATAGGTTTTGGGAGCGTTATTTTCAGGCTAAACCCAGCTGATGAGAGCTTGATAGTGAGGGTAGAAATAACCGTTGTAGTGAAAATAATTCTTCAAGTTGACTTGAGCATTTGCGTACAGATAATCGACACAAAAATCGTCTTTAGTTTGATAAAAGGACCTACATTGCTCTCGGAGGATTCATTTCATGTTCAGATTTTAAGCATTTAAAATGAATGCACGTATTCCAGTCCTAATTGAAGCACCGAGCGACATTGTGGTGAGCCCTTCGGTGAATTAGCCTGGCATCATATTAACCCCCCCTTTCATCAACAAATTCATGTAAAACCCCTCCTGACTTGTATGGTTTTATATTCATTAATTGCATAGACCGTTTCTAGTGTGAACCTGCAACTATTGATTATTTGCACTTACCTTCTATGGTCACCAGTTGTCCCTTATCTGCTTCCAGCTCATCGGCACGACTCAGCTCTTCTTCGTCCTTGACAATATGCTCAGAGAGTTGTTCTTGTGCTTCCAGACAGGCTTTGTCCATGTCAATATGTATACTATCTTCAATTCCATCATCCTCTTCTGAGGTTGTCTCTTCTGGGGTAGCACTATTTGGTGAAGCAGATGGTGCTAAATTGAATATGCCAACTTGAGTGGGTTCCATAGGGGTGCATAGTTCATCTTCATCGATAGAAAATGACTTATCTATTAACGAAGTTGAAAGTTTTGCTGCTTTGGTTTTAGGTTTTGAAATATCTGGAGTAGAAGGGGTTGCTTGCCAGCCAATTATTGGTTTATATGAAATTCAATGTGACTTACTAATTTTAATGTCACAAACAGTAGATTCTTCGGAATGTTCAGTGTCTAAGGGGCTTTCTGTGCCACTGTCTATCAGAAAAGGTGTGTAATTTTCATCCACACATGGGTCCAAATCCATCATTTAATGCTGGAGTGCTACTTTCTTCTTTCTATTATGACCTAAAATTACAAAACTCTATGCCCTATTCAGTTAGGTTTAACACATGCCCTTACATCTTTTCCGCATCATTCTACACCAAATTTACAAGCCGATCCCACCAACCTCTATGCCTGCGAACTTCAACACCATAAGTTAAATTTTACTAATAATTCACGTTTTTTTTGCAATAATTTTTGTGAATGTCAAAAATAGCCAACATAGAGTTGACTGCTTGTTTTTAACCGATTTCGTCTATGTGAAACCACTGTGGAATGCCTCTAAATGCAACACTAGATAGTAAAATACCGCATTAAAATGTTACATGTTCCCCAGCTTAAACTTACAGGTTATAATAAATTAAATAGCTGGAATTACATAAAAAAAATTTCGTAAATAATCCCAACCATTACAGATAACTGTAAATAGCTGACATCCATTATTATTTTATAGCCTCAATTTCAGCTATGACAATTTATAATTTAAGTTTCAGCAAATACTGTTAACAATAACTTACAATAATCCTCAATCTACCGCTTCAACCACCAAGACTTACATCGCCCCGTTAATGGAACAAACTTTTTGCACAAACAACTCTATCTTATGATAACACTGGTTGCCTATTTTTTTAGAGGCTCTAAAGGCCTGTTTGCAATATCTTCGAATTTTCGTTGGCGTCCGTCGCGAGCTAAATTTGAAACAAACCACAGAAAAACATTATTTTTTAATTTATTACGTGTACATTTTATTTCGCAAACGCCATTAAATCGCCTGTGAATAAAGCGCGATAACCCACTGGGCTCTTCATTATCAAACATATACAGTCCCCTCTCCTGACCTTGTCTTTATCCCGTACGTTAGAGCCTGGCCAATGTGAATACAACCTTAAACGTTACCTAGCAACCGCATTAGTGAGTGATCTCATACTTAGTTGTCAATGTGACATTGTCTATAACTTATAGATATAACTGTGGACTGTGTTGTGACTAGTTTGTCAATGAAAGTTATTGTTTAGTTTCAGCTAATTTCCAAAAGTCCTACCATAGCAGTGCCTTATTTGCTACTCATTACAGTAAGTAGTGCCTACGATTTGCATGATAATTAAACTATTGTTTAAAAAAATATTATAATTTAGGCCTAACAATGGGCGATCAACAGCAACAACCTGTTCAGCGAAATGTTAGTAACGTGAAGGTTTTCTTGAGAGTTCGGCCTTTCAATGAACGTGAAGTTAAAGAGGGCAGTAAAGCCACTCTGGTCTGTGATTACAGAGATCATGTGGTCATGCTACAAAAGCCCAAGGAGAAATGCTCTGGAAAAGATACTGATAAGAAATATTTTCAATTAGATTACATATTTTCGCCCCTTGCCACTCAGGTCAGCGAAAATGACACAGTTTTTCACTTTTTACCAATTTACATAAAAACGCCCATTTGTAGCTTGATGTGTATCGTCTTGCTGCTGCCCCTCTAGTGGAGCAGGTATTTGATGGGTACAATGGAACCATTTTTGCCTATGGCCAAACTGGCACAGGCAAAACCTTTACCATGACCGGAAATTACGCTATTCCGGAGAGTCGAGGCATCATCCCCAACACCTTTACTCATATTTTCGCTCAAATAGCTAATTCCAGTGAGGATAGATCCTTTATCGTTAAAGTGATGTATTTGGAAATTTATAATGAGGAAGTGAGGGATCTGTTGGGTGCTGATCCAAACAAAAAACTACAGATTAAGGAAAGAACTGATATTGGCATATACGTAAAGGATTTAACTGGATTCACTGTTGACTCGGTTGATTCCATTTCCCAACTCATGGAACGTGGAAATAAAAATAGAATCACCAGATCCACGATGATGAATAATGTCAGCTCAAGATCACATGCCGTTTTCACTATTGTAGTGGAAACGAGACACAGAGATAAAAATCAAACTACCGTGGGAAAACTTAATTTGGTAGATTTGGCTGTGAGTATCGGAACTTGTGATGGGTAGTTTTCGGAAAATTTCCCTGAAAATTCGAGGCTTTTTTGCAGTATTACATAATTCATAATCAAGCTTTACAGCAAAACAGCCACCATTTTCGCTGTTATACAAAAATGTTGATCACCGTTCATCAACCTCATTCTCAGTATTCATCCATTCATCAGCGTCCTGGCACTCTTGACGGTCCCCTTGATAAGAGTAGCTTAATTTAGTTGGCTCCAGAGTAAATTTCCGCTTTAATCACGATAATTCCAGTTGTCGAAATTTTTCGGCCCCAATGGAAATTCCTCGATTACCTATCACAAATCGCAACACACTTTACTGCAAAAAGCAAAAAATTTATTCCTTGAACTTTAGGGTTCTGAAAGAGTTAATAAAACAGGCGTATCCGGAATAGGATTAAGGGAATCTGGTAGCATCAATCAATCCCTTCTCACCTTAGGAAATGTGATTCAAGCTCTTGTTGAAAACAAAAGTTTTGTTCCTTACAGAAATTCCAAACTCACACGCTTACTTCAAGATTCATTGGGAGGAAACTCCAAAACCACTATGGTAAATCGACATTATTCAATCTTTCATTCAAACAGAATAGTATTTTCGATAGATATCAATGATTGGGCCAGCGGAGTCGGATTATGAAGAAACCTACAGTACTTTACGTTATTCGCATAAGGCCAAGTTTATTCGAAACTTTGCTAAAGTCAATTTGGAAGAAGGTGGCTTGATTGAAAGATTTGAGAATGAAATAGCTGAACTTCAGCAGAAGTTGTCTCTTTTAACAATGGTGTCCGACCAACCCAAAGCTGTAAGGATTTTTTAAAATATGTTGAATTGCTTATAAGCTTGCAATATATTTTAGCAAAAAAAGAAAAATAAAACTGACGCCGATATTGAAAAAATTAAGAAAGCGGAAGCGGAAATGCTAAGAATTGAGTAAGAACTAAATTAGTAGAAAGTAAGTTATTGTTTGCTAATTGTATTGCACATAGGGGCGAAAAACGTGAGCTGGAAGAGAGAATGGCAATAATTTCAAAGAAAATTATATGTGGAGGAGAAAACCTTCTTGAAAAGGCTCAGCAACAAGAATTCCTCCTTATGACTTCAGGAGAAGAACTAGAAAACCTTGATAAAAGCCACCAAGCTCTTGAGGAACAATTCAATAGGATGACAGAGGAAAAAATTGATATTGAAGAAAAATATTCGTCTTTGCAAGAGGAAGATATGGATCTAACAAGAAAAATTGGCATGATGCAGCAAAGAATTAAGGAAGCCAAAGATGAATACGCTGACAAAGAGCATGAATACCAAAGAGAAATGGAAGCGCTTAATGACAATAACCGTCTTTTGATTAGAGAAATGCAATTATCCGGCCTAATGATTGACTACTACATTCCACTAGAATACAAGGTCTGCAGGCGTATAGTTTCAGTATTTTGAAATAACGTCACCTATTTTTTAGAAACTTATTCAAAACTATTGCACGTTCAATAATGATACGCAAGAATACCAGCTGCAAGGAGTTGCATATACCGGGAACAACATGAGAAAGCGCCAAACAGTTACCGAAGATGAGGCATTAATTAGTTTTGAGATGAAGCAAGTTTATCATAAGTATCCTGAGAAGAAAAAGGTAACAAGTAAAAGGTCTCTATTGAAAGCTTATTCAGCCGTGCCAAAGCCCACCCGATAATGCTTGATCTGATGCTGCTTTCCAGCTTTGTGCAATGATGTTTCCACACTTTACGTTTTCTTGTTTTGTTTAAACAGACTGATCAAAGTTGCTAAATTTATTCACCACCGAAACACAAACCATTTCTAGTCTTTGTAGTATGGTTCTTAAATTATATGAGGATTTAACTACTTACTGATAGAGCTTTAAATTGAACAAGTAATGTTTTTGTTGCTTCGTTTATTTATCGTAGTTCAATTTGTTAAAAATATGTTACCAATATATTAGGCATGATTTAAAAAAATATATATTTGAATAGCAGTATTATTAACAAATCTAGTCATTTTCAGGGCAATTTATATAATTGCTAGTAATGATAGGGTATTTATTATTTAACAGAAAGGGAAGAGTCGTAAGTGAACATCCTAAGAATGTATCGTTCTTATGTGTACTGACTGGTAAATGGCGCGTTTACAGTTTTCTGAATTCCACCAGTTTTAATGAGTGCAAGATATTTCCACGACGTTTAACTACTTTGCATAATTCTGATAAACTTCAGTTAATGCTTTATTTTACGATGTCCTCAACTAGAAATACAGTTTCATGAACATTAATTCTGCCACAAAGGACCTGCTGCACACTAATTTTGATTTTATCATCAATCAATACGTTTTAAAATTATCCATTAACATTCATTAATTAAGTTGTTTTTTAGTACTTCACTCATGGAAGTTTATTGATTTATTAAGGAAGATTCTTTCGCAACGTTTGTGTTTGGTTTATGTATATTTTTTGTATTATCTCGAATATATACTTGGTATTACTTATGTTACATATTGAAGTTATAAATAAATGTGTGTGATTATTTGGTTGTATTATTTCCAGTCTAATTAAAACACACTGTCATTCCAACTTTTTATTAAAATATATTTTTCCTCGACTTGAGGCGGGCAAGAGCTAAAATATAAGATACAGGGACATACTTATATAGTAACTAACATCGGAACCTGTTATGTATGTATATATTAAAGTTTGTACTATTCTCTTTGATTTTCTCAACCCCATTTTATACGAATTTGCCGGCAATACCTGGTTTTCGTGTGTATTTCAAAATATGACAGTTTGCTTGAAAATACCTGAAAATGTAAATATATACATTTTTATTTTTAAATAAATTAAAAATATAGAAATAACATTTTACAATAAATATATATTTTAATTTTATACATGTTATATACAACTGTTTGATGAAGGTACTTGATCACTAAGTGCATTTAAGGGTGTGAAAGTCAGTATAATGAAATCACAATTGGAATGAAAAGTTCAAGATTGAATGAGAATTTTTGGGGACGCTTGATTTTAAATGCACCCAGTTTATCAAGCGGCCTTCACACTCCAGAACAGATTTTCGTAGTTTTATGGCAAGAAGTAACCATGCAGTCGTTTTAATACAATGTACCAACCATTGGTGCCGTGGCATGTTTCAAGGTATGCTGCAACCCTATATATGACTAAAATTCACATTAGTACAATTTCACAGGAACACGTAATGGATGATTGAAATTATCCGGGAGAACCTATCGCAATATAAAAGTGCTATTGACTTGTTAAGCGAAAGCACGGTATTTCGGTATTTTTGAATAGACGAAAACGTTTTTTGTGTTGTATGTTGAGCTTCGCAACGGTAAATTGAAAGACCGAGTGTTATACTAAAGTTGATAATTCGTGAGGACTATTCGTGGTCGCGACACTACTAATATCGATAGTATTAGCTGGCATTCCAGGGCTAACGCTACCACTAGCCTCCCTGGGATGTTTGCTAATGTTAAGACTTTCCCCGTTAGGAGGAGTAGTGGTAGATGGTCTAATAATATATGGCCCGTTACTATGTATACTAGCTAATGGATGTCCAAAGCTATGATTGAATGCGCTGACGTGCGATTGATTCAAATTCGTTTGATAGGGCTGAGATGTAATACTGTGGAAGGAATTATGATGTTGCTGAGTCGTGTCCTGCTGCAAAGCTAGTTCTCTTACCGCGTTCGTCTTTTCTCTTTGCCATATAAATACGTTATGTACCATAGCACATCCGCAAAATATGATCCCTAGTCCTATGAAGACACTAGTCACAATCGCTGGAGTTGAATGGAATTGAATAAAGGTGTACAGTATTATTCCTAAAAAAGTATATTGATTACTGCCGGCTTCATTCTGAGATCGAAAATTTCAATTTACCTACCTGTGAGAAATACTGGAATGGAAATGAAAAATCCTCCAACTGCACAGACTCGACTGACTGACGACTTTTGAAGGTACTTATTTGTCCTGAAACAGAAGAATAGCAAATTGAAAGTATTGTCTGGTGTCTAAACATCAACAATTCCTCATCCCTACACGGCAAGTTAAGCAAACTGACTTGTCTGTTCACCGAAATTACTGTTTTTATAAAGCCAATTTGTAATTATTCCATATTCATTAAGTTGATTACTAAAGGCGATACGCTTCTGCTTCAATGGTGCTCTTAAATTAAACTAAATTGCATTTTAATACTAAAGCCTTTCAACGTAAGAATGTAGCTTCCAGCGCTTATGGTACTCACAATCGTAATGGGTGCTGTAGGGAGTACTTAAATCGTGGGAGTGCTGTGTTTTATCTTGCCGATAATTGTTCATTTGTAACTATTCGCGTTTGCTGATTAAATTAAATGTTTATTGTCGAGAGTATTTTGGAGGAAAAATGTTAATGCTAAAGTGGCCTGTTAATCTGTTAAGTTTTCTTTAAACCATCATCAATTTTATTGATATACGAGAATTAATTCGGGCTCTATATATTTTATCGCTCACATAAATCCTCGTCTCAGTGTCGTAAAATGCTTACAGAGCAATTATTGATAATTTATTTAAATTTCACGTTGCGTTATATACAGGGTGGTTGGTGATTTTAGTTAAAGCAAAATATAGTAAACTTTAATTTTTCCATTGATAATGAGACTCCAAATGGTCAAAGCGCGTTGCAGCCTATTTTTGAACACCAACGAACAATAAACACAAGATCGAATGAAAAGCAAAGTCCTCGTATATCTCGTTATTATTTGTTTAAACACATCTTTGCTTGCCCGTTTTGGACTTTTGTTTACATTTATGCCATGTATTTTACGTATTCCCACGATATATTGGGATTATTTGTTTACAGCATGTTTCAGCCTTGTGAGTGCCTGCAAACCGAGAAATGTGCATGTGTGTGTTTTGTGCTTATTAGTTTTATAATGTTCTTCATATATTCGTTTTCGCGTTATAAACAATCATCTAAACTCCATTAACTACGATTGCGCGATTAGACGTGAGTGAATAATGAGAAGGAATTATTATTATTATTTCATAACGCTCAGTGGATCTTTTATTAATGAGGTAGTTTTAATCAAATCTTGAATTAGTTGTGAATAAAGTTCAGAAGCACACTTGGTTCTTCTGAATATAATTCGACCCAGATAGAATAATTTGATAATAAATACATAGAAATTATTCCCACTTGCTAGTTGACCAGTCCGAACAACCGACAGGTTTAGTTTATGAACGTCCATAAATAGTAAAAATTCGCCTCTTATGCAGGTTATTACATCACATTTATCATTTTGATAGATTTATATTGCATGTAATTATGCAATAATTGACAGCCAATACTACTAAGCTTACTATACAGTGTTTGTAGATTTTTCTGCAAAACTGGTCTGGTGCGATAAATCTTTGAGTATCTACATGACGCACATGTTAATGTTCTAGGGGTTCGAAAATAAATCGATGAGTTCTAAGTGTGAAAAAAAAATCATGATTAATAGTAAATTATTATGTCCGTTCTTTAGTGTCTAGCGTCTGGGTCCGATCGTTAGCAAGGACGTTTTTAATGCCACATTGTAACTGTGGTGTATTTTAAAGGGCTTCTTTTATCATGATATTCTAGATGTGTACATGTATGGCACGTAGGAAGGTTTCGAATGATCACATTCGTTATTTCTGTTCTGGTTTTCAAATGATTTTGAAACCCACATCTTCGTCATGTGCGTGTTTCGAGTCATACATACAGGGTGATTTCGTTTTTTGTCATCCAAGAACTACTTGCTTGTTTTAAGAAGGCATATTTAGTCGAACCTAATGGGTCTTTTATAATGTCAACACTTGCCACACATTTTGAATTAATGAACTTTTAATGGTAGCATCCGAAGATTTTTAAGTACCCGAAAATACGACCTCATTCTTTAATTCGGGTATTTAATTCAACAAACAAAACCTTGAATATTTGTAAATTGATGACTAATTTCTATTCCTAGAGAAGACAATTCCAGGCAAATCTTGAGTAACCAAATGTTTTTTTGGTCAATTTATGGCGTGGACTTTACAGAGAGAGCGATGATTTAGCAGCAAATTTGAATTTTTCCTTAAACGAATAAGCAGATGATTGATTCAGAAGGCGTTTTAGCCATCCGGTAGTTAACTCACCAGCTCCATATCTGCCAGCAAAAGGAATACTTAGTAGTGAATGATAAATGGAACAGCTTGTTGGCATGATTAATTACTTTGTTGCATATTGAATATCAGGATTTTAGAAAAAAGGGGCGATTTGAGCGTAAAATTTTCGATATCTTCATTATGCATGCTAATAACATTCTACTGCATATGGACCTCGATATCGTCATAAAACAGTTGCATTATAACGGTAAAAATATCAGCAAATTAAGATTACTGCTGAGGGCTATAAAATGAGCGGCGATTAGTATTACTTTATGAGTGCCATGAGTACCTGTAACTAGAACCGAGGAGATGATGATAGAAAAAGGTAAAGAAACGTTACAAATAAGATCTCGTCGTAAAGATGGTTTTTCTGATTTGAAAATCACTTTGACCGAGTTTTAAAGGCAATAAAACTAAACGGCGAATGAAGATAAAAATGTCCAGGCAATTAGCAGGTGCAAATGCTTAGTAAATTCGTCTGGCGTGAGAAATTCCCATGACTACGCAATTGTTGAAAATGTAGAAACAATCTGGCGAATAGTCAAAGGAGACTAATTATAATTCTCTTTACGTTCAACATTATAACGGCGTCGTAACGTAACTTTGTAACTGATAGAAACCAGACGAAAGTATCAATACACAAAGCGCAACTTTATAGGCCTCACTCGGTTTACAAATGGGATCCGATTTCAAGAAGTTTTAAGAGCAACGCCACAAGAACACTTAAGAGTGCAGACATTGAATTTTTCCCATGGATGTATTTTTAGCCTGGAAAATATTTCCATAACTTATAGCAATTCGTCACGTAACAGGAAACGCATTATAAAAACCTGGGAAATCGACAGCTTCGTTAATAGGGTAGTAAAAACGATTAATTAAAAGTAGCTTACCTGTCGTTTCCCCCATGGGGACTCTTGACAAGTTTAACGGCAAACAGGAACTGAATGGCGCACACCAAAAGGCAACACAGATTCAAAGACAATGTTAAAGCACACAAAGCTAGAGTAACTTCGTAAACCACCACGTATTCTTCCGCTGTGATCACTGTAAGCTGTTCTGCACGTAAAAGTTCTCGTATATCGTTGGCCGTAACCGGCGAAATTTTCAGTAAAAAAATTAACGACAACAGCGCTAGAAGAAGACTGACCAAGCACAATAGTCCCAGACTCACTAACATTTCCTTAACACCCACTTCCTTGGACTTGGCTATGAATTTATTGACGGTACTTTGGTTTCGGATTCTTGAGATATTGAGGCCTCCATTCAACACTTTGTTAGCTGGAGTTAGTACCGCACTGTTACTGTAGATTGAGTGCTTGGAATTGTCCAAATTCGGAGTACAGTTGTGAAGCTGGGACAGCTGAGACGCATTCAGCGAATAATGTTGTGCCGATATTCTGGAACTGTTTGCGTTGGGAGAACGGAACCTATGAGGCTGTGGGTCTCTAGGTTCCATTATTATTGAACTATCTGGACGGGAGCCTCGGCTTGCGATACCTGAAACAAATTATATTTGGAAAAAAATTCAAATTCTAGCATTATTTTTGCTAAATTGTTTCAAGTGGGAAGATGGACCTTCAAGCGGCTACATCTGAAGGTGTCAGCCAGCGTTCTCTTGAAATATTACGAATAAATTCCGTTCAAGGGCAGGATATCCCGTTTTCACTCACTCGATTGTCCATGTTTACGCGTTTTGAGAAAGACATCATTTATCAAAAGTGAAAGGCTTTGGCGGCCATTTTTTGAAACTGATGAGTTTTTCCGGGTTTTGGGTCATTGAGGAAAATAATTTCTGGATGGAAACACACGACGGCCTAAAAACCGGGAAAACATAATGAAGATGACCAGATGATACATCAGTATCATAAACAATTTAACATTCCACAGTAGCCATCAAGTATTCAGTATTACACTAAATTACCATGTTGCTTTCCATATACATACATATACAGGGTGTCCGTAAGCTCATGATCAAAAGGGGACTGCGATATTCTTTGGATCAAAATAAGACCTAACTTTTATTAACAAAAAATGTCTGGCTCCTCTACTCTGGCTACTGAAGGTCTTCAAAAAAATCATCTGTTTTGAAATATCGGGAGAATGGTCCGATGTATTTTGATGAAACTCGCTGTGAATCTGTTCTTATGTAAGACTCATATTTTGATGAAACAATTGAGCTGATCCGTTTTGGACAAGTGGTGAATTATTGAGCGTCGTGGTACAAAAACTATAAGACTTTTTTATTTGGTGGATGAAAACAACTCATTTATTCACAATTTTGTGCTGTTTGTAAAATCTTGTAGCTTTCAGCTTCTTTTCTTGCTTTCAGCTTCTGTTTTCTTGCCACTTAACAATGTTAAACATTAACTGCAAATATCGTGATACGAGGCATAAATTAATTGTCAATCAATCTCACAAATTCGTCTCGAATGACCTTTTCTAATGAAGAAGTGACCGACATGGTCAAAAATTGGGAAGACAAATTGCACAAAATAACAAATAGCACTTCTTGCTGTGCACAAAACACAGCACAAAATTGTGAATAAATGATTAGTGCGTCAACCAAAAAAATTCAATTGATTCCATCCACCAAATAAAAAGTTCTGGTAGTCTTTGTACCACGACACTCAAAAATTCACCACTTGTCCAATACGGCTGAACTCGATTGTTTCATCAAAAAATGAGTCTTACATAAGAACAAATTCACACCGAGTTTTACCAAAATACATCGTACCATTCTCCCGATACTTAAAAAAAGATAAGTTTGATTGACCATCAATAGCAGAGGAGCCAGACATTTTTTTGTTAATAAAAGTTAGGTCAGATCGTCTTCTTTTGATCCAAAGAAAATCGCAGGATCCTTTCGATCACGTGCTCACGGGACACCCTGTATAATAATTCCTTCTTGCGAAATATCTTACTAGGTAAATTAAAGGCCAGACATGCAGGAAAACAACGCGAGAAGGACATCAAATCAACTAAAATTTGGAATAAATTAATCTGGTGTGTCAAAATATCCGCGTAATTTTTAACACTGAATTAGAAGATATTTTTAAATCACACCGAAGGCCAACTCCATTCAATAGTGAAAATACGTTCTGAACCGTAATGGGTATAGGCGCCTAAATACGTGGAACCTACTGCTTAGCCACATGATATGTAAATTAAATATTAATGGGAAAATAAATAGCGCTAACACAAAAAGGTAATTGAAGATTGTATGTGGATTATCTCAAGTTGCAAGCAAAAGTCTGAAAATTTTCAATTACACAGTTAGGTGTACCTAATATAACGTAGTTAGAATCCAAAACCATTTATCCTAAGAACAGCCTTACCTCCGTTTGTGATATGCTTCAACATTTTGTCTTTTACGTTTGTCTTTCATTTGTCCGTTACAATGTCTCGAAATCGATTTAAGGCAGTGATGAAGATCACTCATCTGTATTTTCCACATGTTCTTTCTTCATTGTTGCGCTGGTTGTGCTTGGAATTGGCCTCGTGCTGATCCATAGCAAGGATAGAAGCGAACACTTAAGGATTGTTTTACCATTTTTGGGGTGCTTAATGATTTGTCTTGAAGGGATCATTTAACATATTTTCTGCTATCATCATTGATTGCTAACTATGGCAATATCTGCAAACAAACAACGATTGTCATTTTTTTGCTGCATTGTTTTAGTTTTTTGTAATATTAAAAAATGCAAGGTTTCTCCGAAATAGTAAAATACTGCAAAAGCCCCTTCAACGGCTATGGAATACGAAATTTGTTAACCGGAATTTGACATCGCATCGTTGTATCGAAATATATACAGGTGGTGTTTATTCTTGCTTAACTTAATATGTATTACTATAATAGAAAATACGTTAGCCCTAGTGCACACTTTATTTGGAACGCTCTATATAGAAAGTACAATCGCAGCCTTTATTTCAAAGAATAATGGATCTAGCACAAAAGTCAAGGTTTAACGTCCCTTTAAGACGCAAATAACCAGTAGGTAATGACACGTTCATGAAAAGGCTATGCTTGATTTGTAAAGCCTACACATGCGATTTAAAAATCTAATGTAGTTTCTCTCATTTGAGGGCAATATTTGTTTTAATATGGCCTACTACAATAGACGTTGCATTACTTTCTGATTGCCAACTTCCTCCTATTTAACTGTATTGTCAGGGTTCAGTGGATGTGATCCGAAAAACTATCAATACCGCAAACAGCGGATTTTAACAAAAAAATTCATTAAACTTCTCTTAATTGTCTAGTTCGGTCGGTCTGTTCACTTGGAAAGTCATTATAACACACCGATTGCTTATGCGAGCCATGTTTGGGTTAGTTTTACAATGTTAACCAAATCGCTTAGTCCAGTTTTAGTCAATTCTTTCTAGAATTCTCGCTCATCACCAAGCAATAACCGAGCATTTTGAAAAACTGACAACTGCAACACTCTGTATATGGATGGGCGAAAAACATCGATATTTCGCAAATATTTTTACCATCGATGGTGGAAATTTGGGACATCGATAAAACATCGATGTTAGATCCTGAAATGGAAACATCGGACATTTGATGTTGATACTAGATAGAAACATTTTCTGCGAAATCTTTGATAGTGCTGATACAAACGATACCGCGGCATAGCGGCCCATTTCCAGCTGCACTCGAAAAAAGCCTCTTTTTGCAGTCATTTGACCGAAAAATGTGGCAACTATAAGTTGAATAAATTTAGTCGATTATTTAATGTCATAGTAGTAGTAAAATAATGATATAATAAATTTGAAATTTGTATGCAACAGCAAACAGCAGCAAAGCAACAGCTATGAAGATAGAGACGCTTCCCAGATCGAAAGCTATGAATTCAACTAAAAACACACAAGCCAGCTTGATTTTCCGCTTGGGCGAAAGCCGGCGGAAAATTCTTCAAGAAGGGCAGGAGATATTTATACTTTTAATTGTAAGAGTTGGATATATAATATCTGTTTTACAAAATATTTTGTTTTCTTCTTTGACCGAATATTATGTAAACTATTTTTCAGTTATTTTTATTTAACATACAAGCGTTGCCAACATTTATTTGAGTAAGCATTTATAACGACATGTTTTGTCAAACAAGGAGCTAACAGAGTTTGACAATACCTTGAGTGCCCTAATATGAATTTACAATACAAATATTATACGAGACTTTATCTACTTTTGTAGAATAACGAAATAAATGTTACAAAAATATATTTCACAACTATGAACATTTTTTTCAAAGCGTTATTATGTTGGAAACAAATGCTGAATGAAATTCGCTACAACACTGTATACAAAACTGTTATAAACAAATCTATTTTTTGAATTGAATAATTCCTTTTACGGAACGAAAGTAGATTTAAAATATTTAAATTAATCAAAAACATTATAAGCATTGAATAAAACATTAATAAGGTAGTGAAATAATTCAATAATAAAATAGTTATTCACGCAGAACATTAGAAGAGGCATGAGATCTGTTAAAGTGTTTATTTTAAGATTATTTGTGACTTCATACCTCTTAGTGGTATCTGGCAATGACTTTGTCTCGTTTTCAATTTAAACTATATCAAATTGGTAATGGTTAGCTAAAGAAATAAACGTTCTAAGTTAAAAAATGGATTAAATGTACTAAATCACATTTTTAAACTCAGCTTTTGCTTCTGAAGCCTTTTCCAGTTCTTGTAGCCTTCAGTAACCAAACTTAAACTGCTGGTTCCACCTTGTTTGAAGAAAAATCTTCTAGGGAAAACGGAATACAGCATCTTTGAGAATGCTGTACTTAATCCAAGGATGCATGATATAATAACTGGACTTCGAAAAAAAACTACGAAGATCACAACCATACTGTTTTTGAGGAAAACTTGCTAAAACCGGCTGTCTTGAAAGTTCATGTAGCGATAGAGCCAAATCAATGACTTCTTTTTCCTCTATATGAAAATCTTTGACTCTTGCCCTAGCAGGAAAGTACCCATATTTAGATAAGAAAAGAATTTCTTAATACTAAGTACTTAAAAATTTATTTTTAAAAAAATTGGTTGGGTGAGACAAATTTTGGTTTCGCCTACCCTTAGCGCCGCCACTGCTGCAAGATGATTTTTGGTTGGCAAAATCGCAAGGCAAGCTCCTTCAAACGCCCCAACCAAGCAACATTTTCGTCACAAAGAAGCGCGGAATGCAACAAGCTCACTGAAAAATACGTTAGACCCTTCGGATCCACAAATATCGAACATTTTCGAGCGTTTTTGATCGCACATCCGCCCCATTAAAGCCTAAACCACACTTGTTGCCATACAATATATACCAGTTTTATCACATATGTGAAATAGACAAACTCACTAAAAACACATTTTTGGGTCTAGCTTTGTTCAAAAAAACGCAAAACCCTGAGCTTTATAAGGAAAACTAGCGATGCTTAGGAATCTTCCCGGAAAATGATCGGGTATTTTCACCAACTTGAAAATAGCCAATTTCCAGCCTGTATCTTATTTATTTGTAGTTGTGCATCATCTTGCATAAATTTTCCTAATAATGTGAAAGTGATGTAGCAGCAGTGATGCGCAAAAACTAAAAAGGCATTTTCCTTATAAAACACCGAAGGTAAGTAAAGCATAACGAATCATAATTAATTAAATCAAAACCTGTTTGAACGAGAGAAGAGATTTTTTAAGGAACTGTAATTGAATTTAGCAGAATCACTTTACTCCTTAACTGTTCCATAGGTAAGTGAAGAACAAATAGCAGAAACACAGTTTTTGGTCAGAAGAGAAAGCTTCTAACTAGATAATCGCAGTTGCAATATAATTACGGTCAAAATATTGGAATAAGTCGTAACTGTATCTGTTTTTAGGGCAGTAGATGTAAAAATGAAAGAAATATCAGGTGTTTGGATTCACTCTAATAATCGTAAGCCGTTGAATTTATGCCACTATTTCATTCAATAAATGCGAACATAAAAGCTAAAGGAATTGCAAGCATTTAATATTAATTAATATATCGAGAGAATATCCATACGTAAATGTTATCTCCGTTAATTTCCAGCTAAGAATTAGAGTTGAGATAAAGCCCCATTTTAATTATGAGTTTTCATTCACGGGACTGATTAATTAAAAGATAAGTGCAATTAAGGAAGGTGAATCGGATTAGCCGATTTAAAGTCGATTTTTACAATTTCGGTTGATGTAAAAATGTTCAAAGTAAAAATATCGCCGCATTATTGAGACGTCAGGTGTTTCATCAACCCCAATTAAACAGAAAAGGGCAGGTGAATGAATATATAACCGGAAACAAAAGATCGTTAAAACAGTCGTTTGCCGGGTTTCTTTCCTAGATCGAATTCAACGATATTGTATAATATCGGTTGCTTGTAAATTATATCAGCAATAAATTTCAAATATCTCGTATGCTTTTTCCAATAAAACTTTTACGCAAAATATATATTAAAACACTCCCAAGCTATTTTGAATATTTGTTTTGCCCAAAGAAGTGTTTTTAAATATATTTTCGCTTTGAGACTGAGTCCATTGTTCGTTTTCAAAATGCCAGCTTGTATATGGTTTTTATGCGCCAGAAATTAAGTCCTGGAGCAAAATATATATGAAACACACTCCTACGCGATTTTTGGTATGTATAAAAAATGATTAGGAATTGTTTTGCGAGTGTTTTTTTAATATATTTTTTGCTTCAAATTTTATGGGCGATTGTTCGTTTTGAAAATGCCACCCTGTATATGGTTTGGCTTTAAAAGGTTGTCAGTTATTGATCATTAATTATATGAACTCAAATGAAATATGATTTAGTGCGGCAAGTTTAAATATTTTTATTTTCCAAATTGCCTTGCATGCATGTAACCTTTTATCTTCCACATGTCGTGACTTGTACGCGAATGAAAAATCCTGCTTCACGGTTTCACTTTTATTAAAGCCTGAAGACTGCTTTCCGGATTTATTTTAAAAGCTCAATGGAACAAATTGATTAAGCCATGGTATGTGTGTTCGACCGGCTGATTATTTTGAAAATACACATATAATTACTTATATATGGATAAACGTTTGATAATACGTCCATTATAGAACGATTACAAAACATTTTCCAATTTACATAAAACCATAAGCAAAAACAACTGCTGACAACCTTGTAAAAAGCAATTTTATATTAAGTTAATGTAATATATTCACCTGTTCCTTAATCTAATAACACAGTTTATTGCATATTCCGTTCTTTTTTACTTGGGGAGCTGTCAATAAGAGAATTTATTTACTTAGATATGCATGGTATTCTTTACAGCGTCAACAAGAATTTAATAATAATTAATATGCTTAGACATTTTATCTACAGGTTTAAATTAAACAAGAACCAAGCTTCGTATGGGTAACGGTTTAAGAAAATTAAAAAGACGCATCTTCGCGCTTATCAATTTATTATGGAAGATTGGAATTACTTTATACCAGCCACTCATTATTATTGATTAATTCATGTGACAAATAACCAATATGGATATTGTGATAAATAACTAATAAAAATGCGTGACAACAGATTTTTCTAATGAATTTATGGCTTAGTTTCCGCAATGTTGAAGATAAAATTAGTAAAAGCAATAATTCATTATTATCCTCGATTGAAAATGAAATCAACTCCGATGGCTCATGTTCACTAATGGTCTTTAAAAGTTCTGTGGAAGATATCTACATACCTATATAACACCCGAAAGCAGTAAATATGTATTATCAGGAAGGGCGTGGAAAAAATCCACGGAGAACAGGTAGAATTCTTACATATGTACTACCAGCTATCGTCTTTTTAAGACTTTAGAGGCTTAAGTTATTAACGACGGTTTTATGTGATTTCTAAGAGGAACTTTGGTAGTCGTCTACAATACAGTAGATGAATATTTCATGCTGTTGTTAATAGTGTACTGAAGAAGATACGCTATATATCTCAATTATAAAATTGCACCTCGTATTTACAAGTCTAATTAGCCATTCGCCGGTAATTGGACTGCTGCTTTCCCAATAAAAAAAATCATAAAAGCCGTTTAAATATTGGAAATTAAAAAAAAAATTGAATTTATCGTTAGCAATATGCAAGGCAAAAATGGTCGGCAAGTTGTCAAAAACATATTTTTTTCCATGAAAAATTTAAAAAATTGGTAAATAGATTCTGTTAATTAGGCGGTAAAATTTAAATATTCTTAAGAAGTATGTTAGGAATGTGGGATTTCAAATTTCCCACATTGACTCCAACTTGCATCTGGAAAACCAGTGGTCGAATCAGTGAACATCCGGAAACCCTCTGGTAATATTCCAGGTTTCTTCAGAATCTCTTTAGGTGATCTGATACGTGGCTGAGGCACTAATTAAAAATTAATCTCACTAACCATGAAAATCTAACACTAGCCCACAGTTGAACTTTCAGTCACAGATTCCTCGATATGATATTGTTCTTTAGAAAACTTTAAAAACATGTAGTATACGATAACGAGCCATATAACAGACCAGGCGATCGCGCAAGTATATACACCTACTCTTACTTAACTGAAAATGAATTCACATCCACATTTTTGTAACGGCAGTTTACCGCTCCTTGCGCATTGTGCACAGCGATGCCGGACTTTATAATTCTTCACCAGAGGCCATAAGTATTCGATCTTCAACCGAAGAAAGGCGAAAAAACAGACCTTGCATCTCTTCTTCGAGTTTCTGGCCTATCCGCGCGCTTCGTTTACCCGCAAACGGTCTTCGATCAGTCAAATCCAAACTCAAACTTGCCTGCGATTCAATTGGAGCGTTTTTTGTGTGCAATTTTTATATTTAAATTTCTTCATTGTGCTATAACAGCAATTTCATCCCCAACTGCTGCCAACTGCTGAAGACCATTGGGTGTGTAGGAGGGTTGCGTAAATATTCTTTGCTAGTCATCTAGCGCCTTTTATTATAAAAGAAATGAAGTAGGCAATTAGTTTCATATATTTGCACTAAATTCCTCAATAGATTTTATTGACTTAGAATAATAATCTATCTCCTCTCGACGGATTATAAGGGTTCGATCTTCATACGCCCAAAGGATGAAAAGTAGACGTTGCGATGTGATCTTTTCTTCGAGTTTCTGGCCTATCTGCCCTTTTCCGCCAATCCAAAACCAACCTTGCCGACGTGAATTAGATCTTTCAAGTTCTTCATGAGCTACGAAAATTGGTTATTTGCGCCGTGGACATTCACTTATGTGCAGTTTATTTTACATTTCTTCTGAGTATACGTTCTAAGATAAGTAAAAATGGGACCAATCTGACCAATTTTAGGACAATTCTTTTTCATTCATTTTCTCAAAACTGATTTTAGCAATAGTTAAATGGCGAGACTTTTCAATTTTTTCCTGCTAAAGTGAAGTTAGTGAGGACTTAAAAGTGAGAGCGCTTTTCGACTTTTCAATTTTTCTGTGTGGCAGCTGTTATTCTTCTCTCTAGGGTAACAAAATCCGAAGGAAACGGGACCCAACGACGACATTGTGAAAATTAGTATTTCAGCATCATTATCCAAACTTTAGAGCCTGTTTTCACGATAACAGATAAGATTTAACAAGAAAAACTTTATTTTGGAAGATTTTGATAAAAAAAAGTAGCTTAAGAGCCACTGCAATCAGATGCTCTTGCTTTAGCAACTCCCTGGAAAGGGGGGTTTTCTCGAATTCAAAACCCTGGCCAGGGGCGGATCAAGCTTTAAATTCAGGGGGGGGGGGGTATGTAGAAAAAATACAGTCTTCTGTTTTCTATGAAATTAGAAAAATTATCGTCGTTTTGTGCAAGGGTGGCGTAAGATTATTGCAAAATTTTATGTTTTCCGTCCCGCTTTGCATGTTTCTCGGAAGCAAAATGAGCAAGGACACTCGTTTTCAAAGAGAACTAAATGGCCTTTTTAGAAAGTGAACCATGAATGGGGAAATGTTGGCAGTTTTCTCAAAAAATGCTTGAATTCAAGAAGTTTTAGATTT